TTTTGAAAAAATGACATTTTTGTAAAGATTTTAAAAGTGTGGCATTTTTGTAAAGTGGCATTTGAAAAGTGACATTTTTTGAAATTTCTCTATAATATATGTTATTGACAAAACAAAACAAATTGGTGTGAAAATCCAATGAAATTTAAGTTTAAAAAAAAATATATATATATCCAATGAAATTTTCAGATCTAGTCTTCAGTCTCTTCGAATATGTTTCTCTAATAGGCTATTGATATTATTATGCATATATGAATGTCTTAATCATGGAAGAATACTCTATTATTTTTTTCAGCAATAGAATTTTCCTAAAGTACGTGTGACACTATTTTTATAAGTTTGGATAAGAGAAATTGAATTTTGTTGAATTTGGATATGCGAATGCACTGCCTTAGAAATTAAAAAGGTACTAGATTTGGATCCATGCCAAGCGTGGGATTAAATATTGAAATAAATTTTCTAATTGATCTTAATATTTAGATGTGTATTCTAATATTTATAAACGTACAAAATGATATGTATTGTGCATAAATGTAATAAAATTAAATTTTTACTAAACATATTTCAATGTCATATGCTTTGATCAATTTTTCATAAAATATTAAAACTAATGCAAATGTTATTTATTTCAATTTATTTGAAGTGTCAAATTGAGTTTTATTATTTGTGTAAATAGTAGAGTATGCGATAAATCAAATAAACTTTAGATTTATATAAATTTGTCGGACGTAACAATATGTTTTCTAACAATAAAATGTAAAAATATTTGTAAGTGTAGTTATCATCTACAAATAAATAATGTTGTTACAAATATAATAATAAAAAGCTTTTTAATATATCAATTTTAAAAAATAAATAGATGATATAGGAAGTCTAAATATTACATTTAGTTAAACTTAACTCTGTAAGATATATATTAATGGATTTATGTTATAAAATTAATAAAAACATATAGAGATTTCCACCATAGCATATAGTTTTAATTAAAATATTTTTATTAGTTAAATTAAATGATATATTTCTTAAAACCCTCATTGAATAATACATATGATTTTTTTACCAAATGTCTATTCAATTATTATACAGAGGATTAGTGGCATTTTAAATAAAATTTCAAAATGATGATATTTTTGAAAAGTGGTATTTCTAAAAAATTATGGTTATTTGCATTTAGTTTAAGTATCATGCAAATTAATTTTTGTAAGATAAAATATATTTATCTATACTGGAGATATATCTTTGTTATTTTTAATTTCTCCTGTATATAAAAAAATCATGAATTTTTTTTTTTGAATATTCTAATCTCGTATTTAACGCATGTCAAAAAAATCTAACAGTCATTGAAAAAAAAAATTCTCACATATACTTTATATTTATTAAATAAAATCTTCCATATTATTTGTTTAATAGTTATATATTGTATATGTGATATAAATTTAGTCTAATTATTTACACAATAATGTTATTAAGAAATTTTAATATATTTTCTTAAAAATTCTTTAAAACTCTCTTTGGATATGACATCTAGGATTTTCACTAGTGTCTCCTCTATTAATATATAGGGGATTTTAACATTTGTCTAGAGTTTTGTTGTAATGTCGTGGGTTCGAAAACTTTGTTTTTAATATTTGCTTTAATGTAAGATTTTGCTTTAATGTAAGATGAAATCACGAAAACAGCTACATCTTCTTCCTTGTCCAAAACCATAAAACTTTTTAGAGATTGTATTAAACTTTTGAGTTTATTCGAACAAAGTATTGCTTTTTGGCTGAGGTTTAAATCCAAGATGGTGAAGTGAAAATGCAATTTGATCAAAAAAAAGAAGTGGAAATGCAATCATCAAAACTTTAGCAGATTCACATATAGTGAAAACATTATCAAGACAATTCCATTACATGGACCGTTTCCCTCTC